ATATATTATAAATCAACAAACATTAAACTTAATGGATTTGTATAATAACTTTAATCTTTTTTAAATATTTGGTTTTTTTAATTATTAATAAATATATAATATTAATACAATTAATTGAAATAAAAAAAAAAACAACAGCTTTAATATTAAGAATTCAAAAATTATATACAAATTTAAACTTATTAATAAATATATTGTAATTAATAAAATATTTAACTATTGTATGTTATTATATTTTAATTAAAGATTAATAAATATTTTCAAGTTGCAATTAAATTAAAAATAATAAAAAAAAGATTTAATAAAATAAGTTTATTAGCAAGTATTATATATCAAATTACTTATTTTTGTGGATTTGATCTATCCGTCAAATTATTTACTTTTTGTTAAATAATTAACCAGTAATATTATATCAAATAAATTATTTTTAACTGATATAATGCAAAATTATTAAGAAAACATATTATTTTATTGCTTGAGTCAAATTTTTTATATGGAAATAGTATATTCAATAAGATGATATTTTTTAATATATATTGCAAAAATAACAAAAGTTGAACCTATTAAAACAAATATTGAAATACTTTCTTAAGATCTATATTTAAATATTATTGAAAATCTTGATATGTATTGAAAATAATCTTTGCAAAAATTATTTATTTTTAAAAATCTTATAGAGTTAGAAAAAATAATTCAACATAAATAAAAGTCACTTCCTCTAGACTTTCTTCACATTTTGTTAATAAAATATTGTTTAATTTTTGCTCTATTGACTTTAATGTTTATTTTTATTTTATTATTATTATAATTTTTTTTATATAATATCCTTAAAGTTTTTCAAAAAAAAAAAAACGGTGCACCATTTTTTTTTCTTATACAATAACGATCAAGTATATAAAAAAATATATCACTACCATTTAATTTTGCTAGTGTCGATCGAGGTTTAAAAAAAACGTTGCATAATTTTTACTCGCCCTGTACGTAGCAATGACTAATATCGAATACCAATGATGTGTGCTACAATCCATCCGAACAGCGTTTCTCATTTTAAATATATTTATTAAAAAAAAAACAACCGATTTTACATATTTAACGTTATACATTATTTAATTTAATGATTTTAAAAATATTACTTCTTGATTTTCTATATTCACTATGTATATCAGCATGATGAATAACGCAATACTAGGTTAATTTTGAGTCATAGATCCAAAGACACGATTATGTCGGCAAATGCTAGGTCCACGTTCTTCATATTCTGCCTTTGAATGGCAATAAGAATAAAACTCCGGCTGTATGTGTGAAGTGAAAAGTTCTATAAGTAAAAGGAAGGTGTCGCCATTTGAGGAGAAAAAGCAGACCTACCATATTAGCAATTAATGAGCCACCATACCATACAGCATACCGTTGTTTTTTATGGGAGATAACATTAACATCTATGGGAGTTGCCTAGATGATAATAGAGAGGTTTGACTTAAGTTGATGTGCTAATTTACACAAACAAAATCATTCAAAATTGATAATCCTACTTTTAATAA